GACACTTCTTGACGTGATCTTTGTGTTTATGTACCCTTTTGGATGTCGATTTTAAAGCCAAATTGCTGCAGATTGTGTCGACGATCGGATCGATGCTCAGCGTGTCTTCGGTTATGCTTTGTACAAGGATGGGAAGAACTGCAGGTTGCCGTATCGTGTAGAGGACTTTCGATCCGATGTCACTGGAAGAAGCTTTCATAACGGACGTTTCGTACAACGGATGCGGGACAAAGCTGGTTCTCTTCCGAAGTAGTTTTCTTTCCCATCACAAATCTAACGTTAAGTTCAGTTCTTGTTCTCTAATTCCTTTGCCATGATGCAGTGTAAGTATCGAACAAGGGACGGTGACATCTCTGCTGGAAGAAAATGGGACTATCAAAGGAGTTGAGTACAAAACTAAGGGCGGTCAAGTGTCGATAGCCTATGCTCCCCTTACGATCGTATGCGACGGTTGTTTCTCGAATCTGCGACGCTCTCTATGTGACCCTAAGGTTAAAGATTCTTAGCTTACTCTGTCGAATATCGAACATAATCAATAAGGCTTTGAGACAGCATAAAAGATGTTCGTTTTGTCAATTTTTACGCAGGTCGATGTGCCCTCTTGTTTTGTTGGTTTAGTTCTGGAGAACTGTGAGCTTCCATATTCAAATCATGGACATGTCATATTGGCAGATCCTTCACCTATATTGTTTTATCCGATTAGCAGCACCGAGATTCGTTGCTTGGTTGATGTACCGGGACGAAAAGTACCTTCCGTCTCCAATGGTGAAATGGCCCTTTACTTGAAAACTGTGGTGGCTCCCCAGGTACTTTCCTACATCTGTTTTGATTTATAAGTGATGAAAAATTATGGGGTTTTGAGATAATTTGTTATGGATATCAGATCCCGACTGAACTGTACGACGCCTTTATCTCAGCGATCGACAAGGGCAACATAAGAGCGATGCCGAATAGGACCATGCCTGCAGCTCTGCACCCAAATCCCGGTGCACTTTTAATGGGTGACGCGTTCAATATGCGTCACCCTTTAACCGGAGGGGGAATGACTGTTGCATTATCTGATATCGTCGTTCTTCGGGACCTTCTTCGACCTGTGCGCGATCTACATGATGCATCCGCCCTTTGCGAATATCTCGAGTCCTTTTACACCTTGAGGAAGGTCAGATTAAAAATGCAGTGTTGAATCTTGGTGGACATGTGTATCAATTGATACTCAGATTGTGATTTGCAGCCAGTGGCATCGACAATAAACACATTGGCCGGGGGCACTATACAAGGTATTCAGTGCTTCCCCTGATCCGGCAAGGAAGGAAATACGGCAAGCATGTTTTGACTATTTAAGCCTCGGAGGCGTATTTTCGAATGGACCGGTATCTCTACTCTCCGGTCTAAACCCCCGACCGATTAGCCTCTTGGTGCATTTCTTTGCGGTGGCGATATATGGTGTTGGCCGGTTGTTACTTCCGTTTCCTTCTCCCGCACGCATATGGATTGGGGCTCGATTGATTTCGGTCTGTATCATGTCATCATACATACATGCATGCATGCATACATACATACATACATACATTTGTTTATAATATGTGAACATTTTGCAGGGTGCAGCAGGCATCATTTTCCCCATTATAAAGGCCGAAGGGGTACGACAAATGTTTTTCCCTGTAACTGTTCCAGCATATTACAGAGCTCCTCCTCCAGTTGACTGAGAATTTATTGACATTTCAACTAAGAACTGTTTTTATAGCGATAAGGTTTTTAATATGACGATGTTAATCGCTGAAAATCAGCACAACCGTATTAATAAATGAGTTTGGTTGATGTCCTAATGACATTTTTCAATTTTTTTTCCATTAATGACTCCCGACTCACATTACTTTATAATGATATATCAGCATCACAATTAGTTTTTTTTAGCGATAGTGGACGGGTGATTAAAATGAGACAAGAACATAAGTTTAGTGATGATTTTAATAAAAATAGTTGGATGACCAAAACAGAATCATAAAAATAGTTAGATGACTAAATACATAATTAAGCAGAAAAAGTGACAAAATGTATCAAAAATATATAATACAGGGACATTTGATGTAATTTGCCAAACGATGGCCGCCATGGTAACAACTTTCTCTCATCAGTTTCATCTCAATCCTTTGCCTTCACTCTTCTCCCTCTTTCCAGAAAAGCTGCATTTTCCTCTCCTCTAACTCACTCACACTCACTCACTTAAGTTTAAGACCTGCCGTCGTCACCGGTAACATCGAGGCCAATGCCACTACCGGGTCCGACTCCGATGCGTCGAGCGGCTCTTCATGCGATTACTCCGACTGGTCGTGGATCTACGACTCGGATGCGAGATTCGATCGATATGACGGTAGTTGTAAGGAAATATTCAAAGAATGGAATTGCGTTCTGAACAAAAAATCTAACGGTCGAGATATCGTTAAGTGGCTATGGAAACCTCGCAACTGTCATCTTCCTCCGTTCGATCCGCTTAAGCTTCTTCACACTTACAGAGATACTAATATTGATACTTCTCTCTCTCTCTCTCCAGCATAATTGAGTTGCTTGTTAGTATGTTTTAGGAGTTAATTGCAGCAATTAGGGTTCTGTACCTCTGTTATCTAAAAGAAGTGGCGTCCTGTAGGAGCTGATCGTTGCTTTACTTTTCTCGACTATAATCTTACCATTGCATATCATCGGACTAATCTTTTGGCACGTTATGGTAGGTAAGCTGTTTCAAGCATTTCTTACCATAGTGATTAGTAAGGTATTTTGCTTTGTGTTACCAGAGCGTCAACTGCTTTATTTTCGTTGCCTTTAATGCAGTTCATTCTTCGTTGTCTAATGCAGGTGGTCAGCTAATAGTAATGGTGGTAAGTTGGAAGCTCTTGGATATAAACAGGGTTATGGAGTTGATATTGATATTCCGGAAGGCACGTGGGAAAAGGCTCCAAGCTTCCATGATATACTGATCTTTAACACAGGGCACTGGTATTTCCTTTTTCCCATTTTGATATATTATATACTGTTGATGATATGGTAACCTATGTTATGCTCTTGTTTGCTGGTCCTGAGGGTTCCTTTTTGGTACCCTATGTTCGTGTTAAACGAAAATGCCAAAAGTTAAATCCTAATGCATTCTAAATTGTTGCCGAGGTTGGATGTCAATATATCAAGATATATGCAATCATCAGAGCATTTTGGCAGTGGTTATGTAATTTGTGAATGTGTTAGTATAATTTACCATTTTGATTCTTCTTCAACAGGTGGTGGGCTCCTTCAAAATTTGATCCAATCAAGTCACCCATGCTTTTCTTTGAAAAGGGTCTGCCCTTGATCCCTCCCATACCTCCCAATGTTGGGTTTGAGAAGGTTTTAAAACACATGGTATGTTATAGTACAAGGTGTTTACTGGAATTTACTCGTTTAATAACATTCACACTGGGTGCTTTATAAAACAAAGCTTATTTAGTTGCTGCTGCGGTGCTGCCTGGACAAACTCTGATCAAACTTGAACTGGCTAAATGATCCTATACCTTGTCCTCTAAGGGGCATAGTATTTTGCCTAGATTACACTTTTTCCCTGCTATTTTTCCTTTGGTTTTGAGTACTTCAGAAATAAAAATATACTCTTATGGTGTGAACATCCTGATTATATTTGTACGTCAGTGTGTTTACCCTCTCAGAATTTGTTATATTGTTGATCGCAGAGACAATTTGTGGAGAAAACGACGCAACCAGGTGCTGTTAAATTTTTCCGTACACAATCACCCAGGCATTTTGAAGGAGGTGACTGGGACCAGGGTGGTTCGTGTCATCGGTTAAATCCTTTATTACCAGAAGAAGTGAGTCTCTTTGAATTATTACTACTATTTTCTAGTCGTACTGAACATTATAATTGGTTAACTAAACTTTGATTTGCATCTTATTACAAGCTGAACTGCTTTTATCTATTTTGAGGAAGAAACTACTCGTGTGTGTTGGTTTGTTTACACTCGGAATCGAGTTTAAAAGGTTTGACAGGTTTAGATCCATTTTTAGGTGGAATAACTCTTCTCATTGATGAATAATGGAACGAATGTGGAGGCACGTCTTGTGAATCTACACCTATACAATGCTCTGAAGGAATCAAATTTCTGAATGTTAGATATTACGCGCATGAGTGAGTTCAGAGCAGATGCCCATCCTTCTACAACCGGAGGAAAGACGCAATGATTGCATGCATTGGTGCTTACCTGGAATTACGGATACATGGAATGACCTGTTTGTAGCCCATCTTAACCGTCCTAAAATTAGAAACTGATGTAGTTGGAATTACGAATGCATCGGTGTTATTATTCTGTGGTTTTCACCTTGTGTCTGAAAGTAGACAACATTTATTGATTGGAAGTAAAGAAACCAAACATATTATATAGGGGGTTAATCAATGGCCAAGGTCCATCCCAGCTTGTCCTCCATCAGACCAGTTTGAATCCCTGTTAGTGTTGCATACAATCTCCGAGCCACTGTTTCTTCTCCCAGTTTGTATTCAGTCCTGCATTAATATGATCAATAAGAAAAATCGACATCGAAATAGCAACTAGAACGAAAACTGTAACGAACATGAAATTGTAGCGTAAATGCAGCTGCTGCGAATGTTTAATTGAAACATTTGCAGTCAATCATCATTTTGACAGATTGTGCAAATAAATGGTTCTAAGATTTATCCTTACGTTTTGCCCTGGTACGTTATGCTTGCAACGGACTTGACGACCATAGCTGTTCCGGTGCAAAATACTTCTTCAGCATCAAATACCTCGTCGATCGGAATTGCTTGTTCCTCAACCTGACAACCAGAGATCCACACTTCAGAGTTAATAGCAATCGAATTAATACGAGCACAACTTTTTTATGATTCAAACTGGGGAGAAACTGGTAGTAATTTCTGATCAGTTACCTGGTATCCAAAACCTGATGCAAGTTCCATGATGCTTTTTCTTGTGATTCTGGGAAAAATTGTCCTATCGGCTCTTGGAGTTGAGATAACATTTCCCTGCGTTTGAACACACATGATTGTGTCTATGTCCTTCACTATTCAATCTACTAACTAGTCCGATTCGTATCGGTTCTACCTTGAGAACGAAGATGTTACAAACAGAACCTTCTTCAATGTTGCTTCTAGTCAATGCATCCAGAAATAAGACGTCTGAGAACCCTTCAGCTTTTGCTTCAGTTAATGGCTTGTAAACCTGCATGTACAATAAAAAACATTGGTCAAAACGTGATTCAAATCATACTCCAAAACGAGTACTTACCGGTGAATAATTCGTGACAGCTTTAACGCCTCCTGTACCACCCGGAGTAGCTCTATGGACTTTGTTTTCAACCTTCAAGTTCAGTTCACCCTTCAAAAATCAAAGCACTATACTTAACATCCTGATTTCATTGCATTTTATAAGCAAACTCCCATGGTTTCTTGACCTTCAACGAAGCATCTGACAGCAGCCTACCTTGTTAAAAATGCCAACTGGGGAAGCATACACTAAGAATGTGTACTCGGATGATGGTTTCAATCCAAGGTTTTGACCAGTTCCGATAAGCAAAGGCCTGATATATAATGATCCTCTCCCATGCGGCGGTAACTGTATCATACAAATATTACTGTTTTACTAGTTGCTGCACAAATTCTTTGGCAATGAGGTTGTAAAGTCTTAAGTTGAATACCCATCGCTTGTTGGCCAGGACAGTCTTTTTGACAGCGTCGATGAATTGCTCCACCGTTGGTGATGTCATGCACATTCTATCCGCACTCATCTTCATCCTCAGAGCATTCTCTTCCGGCCGGAAGAAGAGAATCCCCTCGTCTTTCTTCCTATACGCCTTTAGTCCCTCGAATAGCCCCTGATGCCACCAATTTATGAGATGTAACCAGGCCATAGTTCAATATCCCAGAGGAAGGGCACAGCTCAATGTTGCCGAAGCAAGTTATGGTTCAATGGGAAAACTGTTGTTCATCTTGATTGAAGCTCATAACGTACATGTAATCAGTCTTGGTTAGAGCAAATCCAAGTTCATCCCATTTCACATTCGCATACTCAGCCTTCTCCCTGCTGTTACACCAAAGGATTCAACTTCACAAAATCATCAACAAAATAATAATAAAAAGACCCCAAACAAACAATGCCAATCGAATTCAATTACTTGTAACCATTTGGTCAGCTTTCAAATGGATTATACAAACAAGGTTGAACATTGAATAATATATTAGACATAAAATTAACACAACTCTAAAAGCATGCAAAAAGCCATCACCTTTGTCGACATGATTAAAGATTGAAAAAAGATTGTACTTTTGGATCTTACCATCCCACCTGCTCTTGTTTAGGTAAAGAACCCATTGGAAAATGTTGATTTTCATCAGGAAAGGGAAAGAAAACGAAAATGGATTGTGTTCCTACTGTGAAATCAGTGGGCTTAAAGGGTTTATATAGGAAAACCAAACTTTATTCAACGATGATACGTAAAAGTATACACTTTCAGTATATTAAATATAAAACCATATTTAAAATATTTAAAATATGAGGAACTCTTAATTATGGTTTCACACCTAACTAATAAGATTCCCCAATGACTGTCTTGACGATAAATGTGCATTAATTTTCTTTCATTCTATTCTATGCATATGATAAATTCAACGAACTAAACATTAATTTCAAACTTTTAAAAATTGTTTTTTTTAATATTAATGAAGGTGATGCATAAGCATTGCAGACTTCTCCTACTGAAGAGAGATTATACAATGTAGATCAAAGAGATCTATTCCATGGTCACCAAAAGCAAGGTAGATCTATCAGATTCAACATGATGAGGTTCCACTTGATGAGTATGAAGCCCTGCAGCATCCTGAATGGTGTGCAACAGTCATGACATGTGGCACATGACAACTAGTTGAGTTGCAGTTCAATCGAAAGCCCGTTGGATATAAATGGTTGTTCAAGGTGAAACAAAATCCAAATTACTAAATCAACAGATAGGATATGCGTCACGGATTCCAGATTGTGACTTTATGGGTACATTTGGTCCTACAGTTAAATCTTTTATTACTTTTTTTCCTTTACGCGTTGATGAAAACTTAGTTTGAGTAGATTTCTTTCTATACAAGTTTCCTTTGTAAACAATAAATTTAATCCTATAAATAAATACTAAGGATTAAGATTTAAAAATAAATTAATTAAATTTTAAATCGTGTTTAGCCGTAGTCTTGTACTATTTTTGGATATAGTGTTTAAATCAAACATATGGATCTTAATTTGTATTTTATTTGTGAGAAAGTCATGAAACAACTTATAATTGTCACACCCTAATTTAAGGGTTAAATTTTTCTTAAACTTATTCTGAGGATTAAATTGAAATTCTAGTTAAATCCAGAGACCAAAATGAATTTTTAATTAAATTTGGAATAAATTCAAAAAGTATCAAAGGTTGAATGACCTATCGAATAATTTTGTCATTTTCTAAAATGTTGGGTTTAAAAACACCCGAAATCTGGAAACTTTCTATTTTTGGAAAGATTTCATATCTCTCTCTCCCCTATAGTTTCTTTTTTGTTTCAAGAATCTTTCAACCTCATTTTGTCGCCGTTTTAGCATCCGTTATCGACACTGTCGACACTATGGTGTTCTTGAAGTTGTGAGGAGTCAATCGGTGTCCTCAGAATCTTGAACGTCGTCGGCGTGTGGAGGGGTGAGCAATAACAAGTTTCCGATGTAGCGTAATCGAGCTCTCCATCATTCATCGTTGTGAATCGAGCTTTGTAAATGTCTCAAAACCCTTCAAAATAATATTTAGAATTTTTCTGTAGTTTTTTCGACTCAAATTGCCCTCACACGTTCCCCCACTTGTCGCCGCTGCATGTGGGGCTTGTCCACCGCCTAACAAACTATCTAGAAGCGGGTCAGCTCGACCCGCTGACCCGTATCCAACCTGACCCGCCTGACCGGTCTGGCCCAAATTGCTTCAGCCCAAATTGAACTGGCCCAATCAAACCAACCGATTTGGTTTAATTGAGTTGCGTCGAGTCGAGCCGTTGAACGTTGACCCCATTGACCGTCGTTAAACATCGTTGTTGATTATTGGCTGGCGTTAACTTTGATTGTTGATCGATGTTGACTTTTTTCAAGACCACCTATCTTGATTTTTTTTGACGTCTTAATTTTGTTTTTGTGGTTTGTTTTACCAAATTCAAACTCGGTAAGCTATTTTTCAGCATTTTATTTTTTGAGTTGATCTTATTTCCGCGTTTAAGGTCTGTTTTGATGCAATTCTATTTGCCATGTATCCGAGATATTATGGGACGTCAAATTCAAGTTCAAGAGTGATCGAGTGGGGTTAAATGATCGACCACTGTAGCATAAAATCGAAGTAATACTTTACTATCTTATGCACGCTTACAGTACATGTTGGTAATTGGTTAGTGCATGATTGAATATGAGTTGAGTATTTTATGGTCAATTATTCTAAACATACTCTGATTTCGATATAATGTTACTAAACTGACTAAGACTCAAATGACCCATATAAGGAACTAGTGGACCAATAATAATTTTAAGTTGAGTAAAGTAACATCTAAACCATAAATTTTGATTTTTTCCAGTTAAGAGTTTATACCATAAATATTTTGATGAGAAATGATAAAAATACCCTTAAGGTTTAAAAAGGACATAGATTTGCCTCTAATGGTGGAATTAACCTAATAATTAAGATTATGTCCGATAAGACTATTGATTTACCTGTTAAATTCCTGATCTGTTTGGAAAATTCTGACAGTCAGTCTCTAGTCTCTGAGAAGGCACATGATATAAAATTTATGCTTTTTGAGCAACACCTAAAGACTATTTTACCAAAAGTACTCTATATGACTGAATTTATTAAAATAACCAAAATACCCTCGTGTTCTAGAATGACCTAAATACCCTAGTGACTTAGATTAATTGAATGTCTTTGGATAAGTTTTGAAAATACCGGTGAAGATTTAAATGTAATGGCCATAAAGATTATGGAGTAAAACCCAAGTACGCTGATTTTTTCTAATACTCTTACAATATGAGAATAAGGATAAATATCATATGAATACATTTGCATCACTTTGGGATTCATTTAAGAAAGATTTGTGAAGGTGAATTGATCAACTTCATAATATAGTTGGTATTAAGGAATCGACATCCGTGAAGCGTTCCTATCATAATTCTTGATAAGTACCACAGTGATGGGATCTGTTTGGTTTGATTTGACTTGGGAACCGAATAAGTTGTTAGAAATCTTGAATATTAAACCATCGTTGATTCTTATTAAGTCGTATTACCAAAATTTCTTTGAGAATCAAAATGACTAAAATGCCCTACATTATATTTGAATAGTATTTAAAAAAGAAACTAGAGTTCGATTAACTAAAAAATAAAATAAGGTTTTTAAACATTATATATTTTTCATTTAAAAAAACAACAACTAATGATGCTTATGCCCACCCATATTGCATTGTGGTGGATGACGGGTCCGATGTGGATTCCAACAAATCAATATCTTCATCAGCATCATCATCATCATCACCATCACCATCATCAACATCATCACCATCACCACCACCATTACCATCATCATTGTCATCTACATGTCCAGTACCACTACTGGCAATGGGATCAAGACTAGTGTAGAACATGCTCTACAACGACATATGCTCAACACTACCGGAGCCGAAGTCTGTTACCAATGGTGAAATAGATACAGATGGAAATGACAAATAATATGGTTCAACTAGTGTAGAAAGGCAATGGGAACGAAAAACCATAATCGAATAGGAATAAAATACCTCAGTGAAAAAACCATCAGTCGGAGGGGTCATATGCTAAAATGATGACTGATTCGAGTGAGTAAATGCAGGTGGAGTCAGCGGTATTTGATACTCTGCTACTGACGTGCAGGTGCATGTGTCGTTCCCGATGATGAGGCTAGATCGTGTCTTCTTCTACTTCAACTTGAGTCTCCTTCACCTCTAGCAGCACATTGCATTGGCAGATGGTTTTGGGGAGGCACATAAATTTCTCGTGCTCGTTCCTCATTGGTTAGTATATACGACTTCTTATATTGTTCATACCACAACATGTAATCATTTGAAACACTGTAGTCAAATATGGGTTGACAAACAGGCCGCCCATGTAATCTATCCATCAATTGCATCACCCATTTCGCATGATGCATCTCCTTGTTAACATACGTCTCCCCCTATAGCTTTACGTGATGTAAGGCGCTCAAGTCTAGTAGTGGTAATGGAATTGTTTGGACACTGTTAAATTGCCGCAACATGTGATCGATATGATGCAACTCGACTATCTCATATACTATTAACAGGACCATCGACATGCAAACGCCCAAACTGAGACCTACTTCAATCGGAGTACACGATCTAATAGCATGATCATTGTACGACGTCCATAGAACTATACAAATATTTTTAAACTAAGTTAGATAAACTCAAATTTAAAATTTATTTTAAGTTACAAAAAATAAATCGATTACCTCGTTTGTCATCTAATCGATCAACAATATAAAATCACGGAGAGTTCTTAGTAGGTGGGCATGAGTTAGTGTAACAGTCTACCTATTATTCATATAAAAATATAATTTTTGTAAAACCCTAAAAATATAATAATCTAAATATAATATAGTTTATTTTTAATTACTTCTGAAGTAGTATAAATTCAAATGGGGTCGACTGTGTAGGAACCGACTGTAAAAATGACATTCGAAATCAAGCTCACGATTGTAACAACATCAAATAACCTTCAATTACTTGTTTGTCCGGATCAATAGTTTTACATAACTCCCAGAACAAAAAGGCCAATATTGTCAATCCTTAACTCTTATATTTAAAATCTCATAAAATGTGTAGATGGTATAACCACATTAGATGCACTTTGTTACGGGATTTATCAGACATCAAGATCCCTCAATAACTCGTAAAATATGACTACGAGCAAATCACTGCAAAATAAAAATGGTGCGAATAAATTAAAAATTATCATAAAAAATTACAATAACATAAACTAAAATAAAAATTTAATATTATAAATGAAAAATTAAAATAAATAAACGTGGATTTCAAAAATTACCTCCTTAATTACTGGAGCAGTATTGGAAAGTAGATGCAAAAAATTGTCGTCCAAAAATTTAATCTTGATATTCCTTCCATCCATATCGTCATTTGTCAGAGTAAGTCTGAGTAGTTCCTCACACAAGCCGACCCAGTACCCATGAGCAATACTGGTAATAGGCATTTTGTCAACTGGCAGTCCAAGATGGAATGCAATATCTTGAAGAGTAATAGTTGTCTCCCCACAATAAAAATGAAATGTATGTGTCTCCGGTTTCCACCGTTCTTGCAATGCATTT